ATAGCGTTGGGGTACGATCTAACAAGTTCATCTCGCCGTTGACTCGATTCCACCTGCTCTGATCCGCTCAGGAGTTCGCTATCTTGGTGAACTGTTACTTCTCTAACTTCCGGGTTCTCCAATGGCGGATTCCAACCAAACCCAGCCTGCCTGATCAGGCGGGACATACTTGAGCTTAAAGGCACTGTAAAGCCGCAAGGCACGGCTCCAGTGCTTGTCATCCTTCGTGGAGCGTACGTGGTTAGCTTGGCTGGAACCAATACGTCTCCTAGCCTGGTTTTATCCCGGTACAAGCCCCAACAAGAGCCGATACAAAATACCGCTCTTGGCTGCAAAATTTCAACAGCGTCTTTAACTACAATCGCTGACCCTCCGGGATTCCCACCACCGCCTCCTGAGCATGTAATCAAGCTAACTTTCAGTTTCAGTTGACCTTCATCTTTGCCAAAGTTCCCGAAATGTACATAACCAAGAGTTCTCGTGTAGCTTCGAAAGACATCGCTCAGGTAGTAAAAACAGCTTAAAAAATCTGCGTCCCTTACTGCCAAAAGCAAAATGTCGATCGGCAGCTGGACCTCCCTCCAACGCTTTGAAGCTGTAACAAGATCACTTGTTTTTGGAATTGTTATACTGAGTGATGGTGGGCTGTCAACGTTTTTAGAAGAGAAGTCGCAGCCCGCCATCTTAACCGGGCGATCACGAACAAACAAAGGAAAAGTGACAGTTAGGAAAATTTACAAAAGGGCGGGAAATTACTCGCCTCCTCCCCAGGGTCTTCTCGTTTTCCAATATTAGGGACCTTGAGGTGGCTCGACTGGATTTTTTTGGGGGGATACCTCCCAAGTCTGTGCATTAACTACGTCGCCATGAGTAAAGATGTGGGAAAAAGATCACCACAACTGTATTATAAAAAGACAGGAGCCCATAACCCTAATAAAGATCAAAATTTCGTATGATCCTGGTTTTATTGCAATCGGAGTCACCATGGAAATGTAACAACGCCATTACATTTTTTATTTATCTTTGTGTTTCTCTGTACCCGTTTTTTTTTTTAAGAAATCGCTTAAGGGAGGTTGTACCTGCCATAATTGCCTCAATTATGGCAAAGTTTGAACAAATTCTATGAGAGCGTTTTCGAAATATTTTGAAACGAAGTTTTAAGCATCATAAAAATAGTGAAATAGCATGCTATCCACACAATTAGCTAATTTTTTAAGAAAATGATAAGCTTTGGAAGAGGCCCTACGGTGGGCGGGGGGGCCCATGTCGCTCGTCTGAATTTTAAAACGTCTCGTGTCGGTGTTTATAAATGCTTCACGTCGCTGTCGGAAATTGAACGAAAATTCTTTGTCTTTGTCGGAATTTTAGAAAAGGGGGAGAGCAATGCGTTGTAAAGGAACCATAACAGTTGTGCAATTTCTCAGTTAACATTTCGCGTATCGAACACCTATGCATCGCCATTCACAATTAAGGGTGTGTTCCTTTCGTTGAATCCAAAAACGGATTTTAGATCTTAAAACGGATTTCGAGTTCCTTTAGGCGAATCCAAATTCGGATTTTTGATCTGGTGAATCCTTAGGATTCATTGGATTTGAAATCCGAAGAATCCGAATCCTGCTTAACGAATTGGTGATCTACGCTGTTCCATTCAGAGTGGATTCGAAATTAGTCAGATGACGCCACAGCGGTATTTCCAGTTGAAGTATTCCCGTAGAGTTCCCTAGTTGCTGACATTTGCCGTAAAACATCTGAAAACACTGGAAGATTGTTCCTGATACAGTAAAATATCCATGTGCTGACCATTTGTCGCTAAAGATTGCTTAAAAACACAAATAAGTAAAAGGGACAAACTCGCTTGTAGACGGCACTCGATCGTGTTACATAAAAAACCGAGCTACGAAACTGGATCAAACTGAGCCGACAACCTTAAGATAATTTTCAACTTTAACACGCTTCTTTCTTGATCTGTTTATGTTCCATCGTCGTTATTCGAACTGCCGACCACAAAATTC